TTTTGTTCTAGACCTCATTCTGAAGAGTTTGATTTAGGAGCAGTGGCAGCACAGCTTTTGCCTCTTGGAGCTACCCTAAATGGAGAATCCCTGTGTCATCTATGACTTATCCACAAACTCATTCACCCCTCTCCTACCACAGCTAAAATAACAACATCCCAAAGACTTCACAGCCTTCCCCTGCCAGACCAGATGAGTCCCACCCTGCTGAGGGACAGGTGTCCTCCTTTTCCTGAGAGAGCTGATACTGAGCTTCAGTTAAAGTGGATTTCAACAGATTGGAATCCAGCAGGCTTCCAAATGATTCCCTTTTTCTTTCTGGGTGTGTTTGGTCACTGAGTCTTGCTTCTCTCCACAGGGAAGCCACTCACTAAACCTTCCTACTTATTTAAACCTCAGTCCACTGCCATTTTGCCACCTGAGACCAAAAACCTGGAGTCCCTGAGTCATTGAAAGCAAGATGCAATTAGCACCAATTCTGCCTGGCTCGCTCCCTCCTATTTCATGCCCATGTCTGAAGCTCCTTCCTTTGTGAGCTCTAATGCGTGTTTAATGTGCAACTTAATTATTTGATTACAACAGCATAATTGTGTAATTGTAATGTATTGTGCAAGTTGGCTGGAAGGAGAGGGGAGACATTTGCTGAGTGACGTGGAATCCACAGAACAACAGCATCAAAGAACAGAAGAAATCCAAGGAGACGATAATTTGGAGTAATAGTTAAGAAAATGGGCACTTTTGGAAAATGAAAAGTAGTTAGACTTTTAAAAAAATCTTTATAATTAATTTATTCTACCTTCTCGTTGCATTGTGATCAGTGAGAAATTCCCTGCTCCTTGCCAAAGCACAAGCGAGTGTGGCTGTGCTGGAAATGTGGGGCCGGGCAGCCCGTCCTGTCCCTGCCACATTCCCCCGAGGAAAACCCCAGATGTGCCCAAATTGTTCTGAGCTGGCCCTCAAAAAGGGTAGCAGAGCAAACACAAAGAGGTTTAAGTGGATCAAAGGTACCCACAGCTCAGCCACGACCACGCGCGAGCCAACGGAGCCAAAGCACCTCCTATGGAATAACCTTGCCATGGAAATAGGAAGAGATGCACAGAGGGGCTCATGGCAATTAATCACAGAGTTGTAATTCAAGTTCCTGGATGGGCCCTCTGGGCCATCTCAGTGCGACACATTTGCTCTCCAACATCTGGACTTCAGATCAGAACATTCCAGTCCATGGACTGAACCCAAAAATGAGGGGAAAAACCCTGGAAGACTTTGATCAAGGTAAGCAACAGACACAGGAGCTCATGCAAGGATTGCAAACCACATCTTGGAGATCAATTCTGAGCCCAGCTTCATGAGCTCTTCAGTTTCTCCTGCTCTCCTTCAAACAACTTTAATGAGTCCCTGTCCTCCAGCAGCAAGGAGAGCCACATTCCCAAGGAGACCCACATTCCCAAGGACACCACATCAATAAATAAGAGGAGCAGCAGCTGAGACAGCCAACTCAGCCTCCTCATCCCACATCTGGTGAGGCACAGTCTGCCTGCACCATCCCCAGTTTCTGTGGGAGACACAAGCCCTCAGGAATTATTTGAGGGAGATCACTGAAGCTGTTTCTCATCAGCAGTTGCTGGATAACTGGCAAGGGCTCGTACCAGAAACACTTTCCACAGCGAGGGTTTCTCCCGCCGCAGCGCAGCTCAGGCAGATCTGTACCCAAATCCTGGCAGCTGCACACACACTGCCACGGGCTCCTTCACAGGGGACATTTCCACACAACTGGGGCTACACTGGTGGCCACTTCAGCCAAGTTTCTCCCTTGCAAAACAGCCATCCCAAGGCAAGCTCTGGCAAACAGACTGTGGGATTCTGACCCATTTCAAAGCCGGCTCTAGGTCTGAGCACAAACTCTTCCAGTGTCAGCCAGGCAGAGAGAGGCAGTGACAGCCTGTCCATCTGCCAGCTCTCCAAATAAGATTAAGGAGCAAACTCTGGGATGTGGAAGTGATCTCTCTGCCAGTGAGCTCTTGTAGCAATGCCAGCCAGGGAGGGATAGTGAATGGAACCAAATAATTGCAGTTATGTCCAGACTAAATTTTAATTCACACTCTTAGACGAGACCCAATTTCAGTCCAAAGGGACTGTTTCTCCCTGGGGTCTTTCAATGTGTTCACACCAGGGTTAACAGCACGACACAACCACAATTTAAAGCTTCCCTCCCCGTTTTGCCCATGGAAAGAGCGACAAGAATACCAGGAGGCTCCACCCTTTCCCAGAAACAGACATTTTGGGATTTGAATCGTACACCACAACCCTCAGAAATTCTGCCGTTTCCAAGCTTGCAGTGAGACAAGGAAATATTTTCTACCAAAACAAGAAGTCAGCTCTCAGAGATCATGCTTCAGGATAAAAGTGTTTGTTTGGTGGAATTTACTTTTTAAAGAATGTCATCTAAAGCCAGAGTAAAAACATTTTTGGTTTACCATTAGGCAAAATAATGATTTGTATGCACGCTCAGCTTAAAATAAAAAGGAAAAAAAGAAGATTTAATGGAATCCTAACAGAGCAGATTTGGCATATCCCACACATTCCATTGTTTTAGAAGAAAAATGACAAGCAAACTTTCTGTGCTGAAGCTTTCTTGCTGCTTGGCTGACTGCAAGGCAAAAAGAGGCTGCAGATTGGCCTGGGCCACCAAGGATTTCCAGAGCATCTCTCTCAGAAGCAATCAGGGCTATCAGCTTTAAAACCCACCGCTGATTCCTCTGCCATTCCAGAGGAATTCATTAACATTTTGCTCCGGGACAAAAGAGAAGAGGTCTTCTCCTGTGGATGTGGGCAGCTGCTGGGCCCCCCAGCAGCATCCATCACCCAGCATGTGAGGTCTGGAATTCCTGCCGATGAGCCAGAGTGTTTGTATGCATTTCTGAGTGCCTGAGAGTTATGATGTTGTGCCAAGGCTTGTCTGACTCTTCGGGGAGGTCACTCAGACATGTTGTAATTCAACAGACGTGCAAGAAACACAATTTAGCACCGTCTTTCCACCTTCCAACTACTCTCGCTCCAAGGAAAAGGAAAACAAAACAAAATGTTCATAATGCATCAGTGGCAGGTTCCCAATCTCACAGCGCAGCAGCTGCCCGTGCTGCCCAGCACACAGACAAAATCTGGCATGGGAGAAGATCTGGAGCTGACTCACAGGAGTGAGCCTCAGGCTCATCCCCTGGTGTGATCCCTCACAGCTTCCCTGCAGTGAGGGCTGGAAACCTCTGTCAGGGAAGGAAATCTGGATTAATGCTGCTAATTAAAAGGAACAGAGGACATGGTGGGCAGGACCAAACATCTTCTCTTTAATGGAAAGATGCATACAGGATGTCAGAGAATCAGAATGGATTGGATCTTAACACTTAACCAGCCCCACCCCCTGCCATGGGCAGGGACACCTTCCACTATCCCAGGTTGCTCCAAGCCCTGTCCAACCTGGCCTAGAACACTTCCAGGGATGGGACATCCACAGCTTCTCTGGGCAACCTGTGCCAGGGCCTCCCCACCCTCACAGGGAAGAATTCCTTCCCAACACCCAGTCTAAACCTACTCTCAGGCAGTGGAAAGCCATTCCCCATGTCCTGGTACTCCAGACTCTTTAAACAGTCTCTCTCCATTTTTCTTGTCAGCTCCCTCAGGTACTGGAATGTCCCAGTAATCTAAGATCAAATGACTCAGCATGAGCTACAGCCTAAAACTGTGTGTGTGGACACTTGGCAATGCTCTGTACCTCCATCATATCTCTTCACATCCTTCATCATTGCCAAAAAACTGCTAAAATTGGCACAGAGCCTGTTCCAGATTTCGGACCAGGCCTTTTTCACATGAGCACAGGCCACAAGCACTGCCAGAGAAGCCACAAGGCAAAGGGACTGGGACACAAGCAATGAGCACAAACTGATGCCCAGGAAGTTCCAGATGAGGAGGAGGAGGAACTTTTCCTGTGCAGTGACTGAGCACTGAACAGAGTGTCCAGAGAGAGTGGGGGATCTCCCTCACTGAGGATATTCCAGGACCACAGGACCCACTGTGACATTCTGTGCCATCCAACCCATTCATTTCAGCTGCAGAGTTAAGAGACCTCAAGGCCAGGGAAAACCACAACAATTATGGATTCTGATGCACTGGGAACACAAGATAGATACTCTTCCCCATTGGGCTGGAGCAGATCTTCCAGAAAAACCATCCAGCTTTGCTGAGGCCTCACTGTCTCTGTTGGGAAGGGTCCAAGATTTTTCAGACAAAGCCCACGAGGGAAGTTTCTCCCAGAGAAGCAGGCACAGAGGTGCCACCCCTGGCTGAGGAGGCCTCCTCAGTGCCAGGCCTGGAACAGAGCAGCAGGAGGAGCACCACCACCATACTTTTACCAAGTTCCCTTCAACTTCTCACTAAGTATGAGAGGAACAGCAGACTCCCTGCTCTCCTGTCATCCTCCAAGAGAAGCTGGGGTGCTGCTTCTAGATTTTGTATTGGTTCTTTGAAGATCAGACTCACCAGACCTCTGCTCTCTGAAGAAAACCCACCGTCTCTCTGCTTACAGACTCCAATCCATCTGTCTTATCCCATGCATGGCTCTGAAACATGGAAATTTTCCCATTTTTCTGGGAATATCCTGACCAGTTTCTTCCCATCCTCTTCTCCCTCTTTCCCCATTGTTGATGAGCCCCTTGGCCTCTACTCTGCCCACAGGTGCTTAATTGAAAAAAAATTACAACCCAACACTGTTCCTTATAGAAAAGCAGCTTTCCATGTAGGCATTAAATATCAATTACACAAGAAGTCATGCAGTGCTTTAATTACACTCATGAAAAATCATCCCATTAATCAAGTTTCTAATCAGCTAATTTCTCATAAAAAGGTGGAAACTGTTATTTTATCGATTAACTCTTAACAGTCACCCAGATGAATCAATTCTACTTTTTTTTTTTTTTTTTTTGCGTATATCCCATTTTACAACAGGAAAAATTCTTCCTTTATCAGGGACTTGCCTGAGTGTGAAATTAGTTCCCTGCTTCTTGTTTCTGGCAGTGCTGTGCTTCCCTCTCAGGCTTGTGGGTGGAATGTGGGCTCCTTGCTCTCACACCCCCCATCCCAGCATCCAACATCTCCATGGAAAGGGCGCTGTCATCTTTCAAAGCTCTGATTTGGGAGACTGGGTCCACTCCAGATCAAAAAGACCTGCAAAAATAGAGGGTGATACAAGAAACAGTTATGCCTTTGGAGGGGAGATGAAAAGAGCTCAGCTCACTTAGTCCAGCAAAACAAAAGCCAAGAAGGGACATGGCTGAGGTCTGGAAATACATGGAGGGTGGAGAAGGAAAAAGGGAGGGAGGAAAATAAGGGGGGAAAGAGCCATTCCAGTCAATGAACAAAGCAGCTGGGAATTAATATAAGCTGGAGTTTAGAAACACATGCTGAGACTTTCTAACAGGCTTCCCTTGGGAGCTGCTGGGCAAAACCTAAAAAAGGGTTTTTGCATAACTCGGGCTCCTGCAAGGCATTTGCAATGGTTGGGAAGGAACATCAGGCACCACGGAGCCTGTCCTGTCTTCACGGAGGGTTTTCTGGGATCCACAGCCAGCCCAGACAAGAAGCCACTTGATTAATTATTGCCTCTGCTGACTTCTCCCACCTACTGCTCCGTTCAACCCCAATTATTCAGGATCAGCTCCTAACAATCTATTGAAGAGGTACAGCTTTTCATTTGCATAAGCAGTTTCAGCCAACACAGTCTGTTGAGACAGAAAATATACACTGAATATTTAGCAAGTCTGATGGCATTTCAAGAGCATGTGATGGCACACAATTGATGACATCATGCATTTCTGTTTCCTGAAGATGAAGTCTAATGTGGCCCAGAACTTCACCCAAAACTGATTGGCTCAGGGTAAAAAAAAAAAATAATAATTAAAAGAAAGAAATGTACGCAGAGTGTTTTTACAGAGTGTTTCTAGATTTAGATGCAACTCCCAGAGAACACCATCCAGCAATATCAAATCTTATACAGAACTGCAAAATTAGATGCAAAGCCCTGGAGTAGAAATAGAGATTAGAGACAAGTATTTCTCTCCTTCTCCTGGGAGAGGTGCAATGAGCTGCTCTGTTGAGGTCCCAGGTGGGTTTGAGCCACAAACCCACTGTCAGATCATAGAATCCCCAGCCTGCCATTCCAGCCTGGCAGGTGGCTGGGGCCCAGCTGCAGGAGCATGCCCAGGTTTCGGAGAGACCAGCTCCTTGCTGGGATTGGCTCCTGAGTACTCATGAGCAGAGATGTTCCCAGAGCAAAACCTTTTTTTTTTTTTGCTGTTGTGACCTCTCCTCCAATATCTGAGTATCCCTCAGCTGGGGTGGATCAATATCGGTGCAGAAGTCTCCATGTGGCCTCTCCTGTCCCAGGCTCTTCTCCTGGCTCTGTTCCATACATTCTGCAGCACTTGGAGCAATCACCAGTCCACTGAAGGATGCTCCACGGGGGCCTGGCTGCTCTCTAGGAAGGGCAGCCAGCAGCACACATCTGGCTGAGTGTCATATGGCCTTACACAATCACAATCCTTTTTCAACTCCTAAAATTATAGAACTTGAGAATGACTTGGGTTGGAAGGGACCTTAAGGACCTTCAGCTATCCCAGGTTGCTCCATGCCCCATCCTACCTGGCCTTGGACACTCCCAGGGATCCAGGGATGCCACAGCTTTTCTGGGCAACCTGTGCCAGGGCCTCCCCACCCTCACAGGGAAGAATTCCTTGCCAATATCCCATCCAAACCTGCCCTTTTCAGCATTAAGCCATCCCCCCTTGACCTGCCAGTCCAAATCCTAGCCAAAAGTCCCTCTTCAGCTCTCTTGGACAGATCTCCCAATCCTATTTATTTCTCCCGTGCATTTGGTGCTACGGTAACACCACATATGACTCCAGCATTAGCAGGAACACCCTGGGAAGCTGCAGACACACAAATTCCCATTTGCCTCCATTCCACAGGGAGCAACCACCCCTCTCTCCTGCTCTGGCTCCCATCCAACAGCTCCAGAAGAAGCATTTAAAGCATGAGCAGCACATGGCAGCACGGCATGGGATGGTGCAGGACAGACCTGAAGCTGGGAGAGCAGCTGGGATGGGGAACTGCCAGTGCAAAGGTGTGGGAGGCACAGCTTCACCCCCCTCCCAGCTGCTCTGAGGCTGATTCCAGGTGTGTCTGACAAGTCTCATGCACAAGGAAGTGGCACCTGCACTGAATGGTCACATCCCTGGGAAAATCCAGCTGGCAAAGGATTAACACCTGGGCTGGCCCTGCTGGCAGCTTTTTCCATACTTTCTAAGGCGCTGTGTGAGGGATGCTGGGCACTGATGAGCTCTGCTTGTAGTGAAACAGAGAGCAGCAGCAGGCTGAGTGATACCACAAATCCCTGAGGGAGCTGCCAGCATCCCAGGCTGTTCCTGAGATCCACCCTCTCACCTCTGCAGTTGGGTCAGAAAAGAGTTTTGTTCCTTGTTGTGAGGACCAATGCTGTCACAAGTCCTGTGTGCATTGAAAAAAACACCTCCACACCACAACGTGCTCAGGACAATACCCCTGATAAGAGCCAGGAAATCTTTCCTTACCAATACCTGTTGGCTCTGAGGGAAAAAGGACCATAAATCCACACCAAAGCCCTACAGAGCATCCCTACGCACACACAGCATCTTTCAATACCACAGCACTGAAAGGAAAACCACAAAACCATCCCAGAGAAATCTTCCCCTAAAGAGTGCAGTCGCCCGAGTCTGTAAAGAATAATAAATCCCCCCCCTGCTCCGTTCCCACTGCTCGCCCTCCCTCGGGAAACCTTGCTCAGCCTCGGGAACGCTTTCACTTGTGTGGCCTGGGCCAGCATCCCCTGGCAGGGCACTGAAGGAGGGGCAGGCTGCAGGCTGGCGCTGGGGCCAACAATAGGGAGGGAAGGGGAAGAGGGAGGAATGGCGCAGCTTTGCCAGGCATGGCTCCGGCAGGGACAAAGGGACGGCCACGAGGCCGCCCAGAGCGGCAGCGCAGCCAGAGCCGCCTGATTTATTCTCCGCCGCTGCAATTATTTATTCATAAATTAAACAGAAAGAACAGCGAGGCCGGATGCCTGCTCAGAGGTGGCATTTGGGGGAGGAAGGAAGGTACAACCACCCCACCCAGGGATGGCGGTCCGGCACTTCTCCTTCCCCAGACGCAATCATAACCTCTGATTTAATTAGCTTAATGGGAATGGGGGTGAGGAGAAAACAAAACAAAATAAAACAAAACAAAACAAAAAAAAAAAAAAAAAAAAAAAAAAAAACAAAAAAACCAAAAACAAAACCAAAAAATAAACAAAACAAAAAAAAACCAAAAACAAAACAAAAGGCAGAAGTTCCCCTGATGCCCAGCAGTGGTGTCAGGCTCGCTCTGCCTGCTCCCTGGACATCACCTTGTCCCATGTCCCTTGGGAAAAAGGCACAGACCTACAGTCCCACTATTCTTCTCCTGTCAGCACAAAGACTGCTCTGTGAAACACTGCCCACAGGGCTGATGGGGATGCTCCTCTCCTTACACCCTTCCAGGAGATGTTCCCCAGCCACATCCAGCCCTGCCAGCAGGAGACCCCACCTGGGGACACTCGGACCAGCCAGGACAGGCTTTCGTGTCAGGGAAGGAGCGAAAGCTCCCAGGGAAACAAAGAGAGAACAATTAAATGAAACAGCTCACTACCACGAGATCAATGCCATTGAATAAGAGATTTTCAGGCCAAGCCTTGTGGGTCTCAGAGACAGCCCGAACAAGTGAGGAAAAATTTGGGCAGATGATCAGTATGAACCCAATGAACCCAAGCACAGCTTCCCAAGTGCCAGGTTTTGCTCTGGGGTCTGCAGACAGCACACTTTGGGGAGGGGTAATTTGCCTGCTGGCTCTTGGCTGCTCAGGAATCTCATTTTCCAGGATGTCAACAAGGCCAGGAGGGTCAGAACTGTACATTTGCCTTCTAGTGACAGCTGAACTACATGAAATCTGGCTCTGGGGCTCTTGGAAAGCACAGTAAATACCGTTAAGACTTGCAATAAAACTGCTCTGCTTGGCAACAGGAGGTTTTTCTTATCCACCGCTCGTCCATGCTCCTTCTTCTTGGCTCACCAGGAGCCAGGGTTTGCAGCCCAGCCTTCCCCCCAGCCCCTCACAAGTGAGTAAATCACCTCCCTGCCCTGGGAGAAGGAGAGAATGAGGTTCAACTGAGCCCCAGGCAGCTTGACCATGCCTGGCATGGGGCAGAGGAGCCCCTCTCTGCAAGGCCTTCCCAACCCTCTGGCGCAGCTGAGAAGGGGCTTCATCCCAAACTCAATGTGTGATCCCAACCCCAGCAGGCACTAGCCTGGCTCTGTGCTGTTACACAAATGGGCCTGTCAATCATAAGTGGAATTTATCTTCTCAGAGCAGGGCAATAAAGAGGTGAAAGAGACCTTGTGGGTCACAATCCCTGCAAGTGACACCTTCTGCAACTCCACAGGGATCCTAAACAAATGCCACCCCAGCACCACCCCTGCTCCAGCTGGAACAGCTCAGGGGACAGACACTTGCAATTCCCACTGGCAAGGGGGAGGCTGGCCCATCCCAGCACCAGCAGGGCAGTTAAACCACCATGTTCTCCCACCCCCCTGTCAGTGCTGCTCCAGCCTCAGCAGCTCCCCCAGCTCTGGCCATTCCTGAGCATGGGATTTAAATATTGAGCATGTTTAAATATTACATGGGGGGAATTAATAATAAATATTACATGGGAGAGATTAATAATAAATAGAATGAAAAATAATATTTACCCCTAAGTGGGGACATCACTCACAAAAACAAAAGAAGGCAAGAGGAGCCTGACCCCAGGGCTGCAAAATGTCTCAGCCTCACCTCCACTTTGTCACCACAGAGCCCTTCACAGAACTTATCAGTGACTTAAGCCAAGAAATTAAGCAAGTGACAGGGGAAGGGTTCTCTCTCCAAAACCTCAGCAGTGTGCAAACCCTCACTCCTAAGCCCTCCTTCACCCAAAACTGCACCCCAAATCTGGTCCTTGTCCAAGGAGGAACCAGGCGAGATGGTTTCCCCAGGCTCTCCACCCACACAAAACCAATCCAGATCAGCTAGAGGAGCAAGAGATGTGTTTCCATGTCCTTAGGTTGGCACAAAATATCTCT